CTTGCTTCTTAAGCATTAAAATGGAAGAGAATATCTCAAAGTCTAAAGGAAAGCCCTGTTCGCTAAATAGGGAGATTGTCCCCACCAAATTACAAATGGAGTTCGGGTGAAGCTGGCCGACCGTAATGCCGAAGAGATTCAAAACCTCGACAAAGAGGGGATGGAAAGGCAATCACAGCCCCGCAGCGAGCTGCTCACGGAATATCACGATCTCATCAGGACCGCGTTCCCAAGGAAAGCTACCCGAAGGTATAAAATAAGCGTACTCCCCAGGCAAATTGTAATAGGTAATAAGGGATTGGAGTCCCTCAGGCATCATGGTCGAGGGGCCAAACTTGTCTAATGTCCGACCCCAACGAGAGGTGGACGCCAAACTACCCGAGGCGACTCGACCTACGGGTTTGAACTCTTCCTCAAGCTCTACCTCTGGCTCGCTAGGACTATCAGGGGATGCGACTCAGTTCGTAGAACCTGCATCTGACCCACTTGAAGGACCGTTTGAGCATTCCGAGCTAGACATCGAGGAGAGAAGGTGGATTCCAGGGAGTTACTCACCCGGAAAAAAGCTTCAACAAGACTACGGGAACTTGAACGAGCGAAAACCTGGAAACGCAAACTGAAAGCCTAGGCGCGAGCTGAAACTTGGACGCGAGCTCAAGAGGCAGCACAGAAGTGAAAGCGACTGGGGTCCCCCACTATTTATACCCATAGTGACCAAGAAGCAACGACACTGATCAAAGCCAATCCAACGGCCCGCAGTCGCGCTGACCGTACGTCCCCTGAGACCGAGACGTGATTGGCGCATGTCGTTTTGAAACTGACAGAGCACCGGCGCACGTCTTTCTGAAACTGACAGAGCGCCGGCGCACGTCTTTCTGAAACTGACAGAATGACAGCGCACGTCTCCTCACATTAAAAGCGGCAGCGGCACGTTTTCAAAATTTGAAAGGACGCCTGCTGTCACATCTCCCAGCAGCGCGCCTTTTTTATTTTAAAATAAAGCGCGCGCTGTCACGTCTGGCAGCATTTATAGGCAGGTCGGCGTGTCTTCCGTCTTCTGGGCGCTCGAAGAAACTAACCCTGACAACGCACCTCGCACTATCAGTCAACCGAGATTCAAAGTACGGGACAAATCCACCTGCCACCTTGCGAACTCCCCGCGCCAAGGCAAGACCCTTAGCACAAGGAGTGGGGGGCAATTGATGAAGGAAGATTTGGCCCGACCTCGTAATCACTCAACACGTGGCAAAGGCAAACAACTCGGCACAACAGCACAAGCACCAAAGGGAAGAAACCAGTTGTCCGAACTCCCTACTAGGAGCCTGAACTCCCTATGAGGAGCCCCACCTCCCTACTAAGAGCCCCGACCTCCCTACTAAGAGCTTGAACTCCCTACAAGGAGCCCGACCTCCCTACGAGGAGCCCGAACTCTCCCTTAGGCCCCGAGCCACACAAGGCAGTGACCCGAACTGGCCCGCCTCATGGCAGTTCGGGACACTCCC